AAAGAGCGGTTCCGATACGAAGAGGTGTCCAAACAGTGGCAGAGAGTTATATATGAGACACAAACAGAGTTCTCCTATACTTATGACTTCAAAAAACGAGATCAAAAAACATTTGAATTAATGCTAAAAAAGTGTAAAAATATCACAACTATTAATCACTTTTCATCGAAGACTAGTTTGGAGTCAGTTATGAAATACTGCCATAAATTGCATACAATTTGTTATACGTATGAAACGTCTGAAAACGCGGAAACAATTGAGAAGTTAATCAGAAAATTTGCGAAACAATTGAAATTTCCAGACATAAGAGTTGTCGCAGAAAACAATGTATTTATTCAACAGAGACTCAAGTGTTGCACTAATTTGACACAAATGGGCACTAATTTCAGTCCATTGTCTGTTATATTGAGTATGAGATATGAAAATGAGATATTGTTTAAGAAATTACAAAAAGTTATCGTTAAATACATCGGCGAAGAAATCGATAGTTTTAAAGCATTTGTGAGAATATATGGCAAACAATTGAAAGCAATTCACGTCTTGGGCTATAAAATTGTGTCTTCAGTCGAATGGGATAATGAAATACTATTCAATTGTTTGTCACAATTGACACAATTAATTGATCTCAAGATTACTATATTTTCTGACATTATATCTTGCGATCAATTGAAACGATTGGGTATTAATTGCCCGAAACTCAAGAGACTATCACTTCATTTGAGTGACGAATCAAACGACGACTTTTGTAAAAATATTCAAACAATTAATGATTATTTCAATCATTTGAAACGCTTAGAAATCAGTGGAGAATTTCCTGAAGAGTTTGTATTAATGAGTGAATCGTTGGCTAAATATAAACGTTTAACACATTTAACGAGCCGTCCCTTTGGTTCCAAAAGGATTAGTTTTTTACCAAATTTTGCCAATAAATTCCCAAAACTTCAAGATTTGCATATTATTTGCTCTGAAATCACAGCAAATATATTGAATTCATTGTCATTATTGCCAAAAATACAGACCATTAGAATATTTGACGATAACTATGGTATTGAATGCAAAGACAACATTACTCTCAAACCTCTCAACGATTGGAAATCAGCGAAAATTATTGCCATTTATATTAACGATAAAAATATAATTAAATGAAAACTAATTGTATTTTTTTGTGAATAAAGTGTTGATTACATTACTTTAATACTTCTATTTTGTGTGATTTATTTGAACTAGTCATAATTTTTAATACTTATTGTATTTTATATCATTATTATATAATTTATTAAATCTAGTACAATTAATTTATTTAACCATAATGCTTAATAATATAGCAGTTTTGTACATAAAATTTTGTTTGTAAATATAAGAACAGCTATTGAAGGAATGCATACTTTCATGATTTAACTACACTTACACTTGTATTACCGTAGATATTCATTAAGCGTAAAGTATTTTACTTCAACCTTGAATACAATCATAACGTCATATATTTATGTTTATATAATTATAATCTAATAATCTAACTAATATATTAAAAATATTACCACTTAAAATAACATTGTTTAAAATAACAAATTCATGGTCAAATTGATGATTCATCAATATATCTATTAAAAATTAAAAATAACATTTATTGTTTTTGTTCATACATTATATAGCCTCACCCCCACTAATAGGGGGATTGTACTAGTAGTATATTAAAAATGGAGTTATAGTTATAACTATTATAATACAGTATAACATTGTTATTTTAATTATGTTTAAATGTATTTATTATAAATACAGAATAAATTAATATAAATAATATTTTGATTTAAGTTTTATTTTAAAAATATGAAGTTTATAATTATTGTGGGAATTACTGTATACTGTATTTATATTCCTTATAAATATTGATTGAATATTATTGTACATAACTTACAAACACATAAATTGAAAATATCTATATTTTTGTGATTATATTTTATAATAATGTCTGAAAATTTAAATAAGTTTGAAATTTGTGCCAAAATAAGCTATGATTTGAAACTAGAAATCAAATTGTTTTATGTTTTCATTGAAAATGGAAATAACATATTGTTTGTGACAACTGATGATCGGGTCTATGGGTTGGGCAGTAATAGTGGCGGATATTTGGGTTTGGGTCACAACCGACCCATACATACACCCAAAGAAGTGCCACAATTAAGTCATAATAAAATACAACAATTTTTCAGTGGATATGATTTTGTAGTGGCTTTGAATTTCGATAACATTATATTTAGATGGGGTCGCAATCAATGTACTGGGTTTCACAATACATCTAAATACTCTTACAATAAACCGCACAAAATATTATTATGTAATTCACATGATTTGCATATTAAGAAAATATCATGTTTTAAATACACAACTCTCGCTCTGAGATCCGATGGACAGGTATTTCAATGGAGATATAATTCAATTGAAACACTAAAACCAATTGAAATGCAATTTCCCGTTGAATATAAAATTGTGGACATTATGTGCTTTACTGACAACTCATTTGCCATTACATCCAATGGAGAGGTGTTTTTGTGGCCAAATGTAGTTTCGAGAGCAGGAAGTGTACGTATAAACTATGTTCATAATTAATGTCTTAAATACTTATAGGGTTACCAGAATATATTTTTAAATAGTTAATCAAACAGTCTAACATTACTTGATAGTGTATGACACATAATCGCAATTCTATAAACAACATTATTTTATCTGAACTGTGTTTAAAATATATATATATTTCTGGTCACCCTATGATTTGTTTAATAATTTAATTAGTAATTTAGTAATTTCGTACATTTATAGTATCATATGGGACTAAACCAAGAAACAAAGTGGGAAGAAATTGGAGACTATGAGCCACCATATATACCAGAATTATTACCTGACGTTAAGAATATAAAAACTTTATGCATGATACGCAAGCACCTGGAGTATCCTGATCTATTACTTATGATAACAAATGATAAGCGCGCTTATAGATATAATTTTAAAAATTATAATAATAAGGAAATGACATTGATAAGCAATTTGTTGTTTGATGATCTTGCTCCAATTGATTATGGCTATAATCATATTATTCTTGGCATTAGTGGCAAAAAAGTATATGAATTTCATGGATCTGGTCATACATTTAATGAAACAAAATATACAACATTTGTTGAATACTTTGCTGATAAATATCAAGAAACTTATATTACCATTGATATCACAGAACTTGATAAATATTTTCAAACAATTACTAAAACATCACATTCTGGTAAGATTTATATAAATATATTTAAACACTCAATTATTATCTACTAAATTGCTTATCAATTGTGATATAAAATATAATAGCAACGAATCGAGGCATGAATTACAGGGATATGTATACGGAATTGGATTCTATAGGATCCGGTGGTTTTGGACACGTGTTTGAAGTGACAGATAAATACAATGGAGGCAAATATGCGATTAAGAAATGTAAATTAGATGGTAATATTTTTATAATAATAATTTAATTTTAAGTTCTGAATGAAAAACAAAAGGAAAACATTTTGAGAGAAACGGATAACTTGATTAAATTGCGCTCAATATATGTCATTTAATACTATCACTCGTGGTTTGAGGGCAACTGTCTATTCCTTCAAATGGATTGTTTGGCCGGAAATTTAATGAAAATTTTAAAAATTAAGAGACAATTATTTGGGAAAATAATGACTGAATTTGATTATTATATATCATATGATATATTCAAACAATTGGTGGAAAGTGTGGAGTATTTGCATAAAAATAATATCATTCACAGAGACCTCAAACCCGATAATGTCTTGCTTTACAACACTGGGAGTTATAATAGAGATAATAGATAAAGAGGCGGTCAAGTGATTCGGCACCTCGTAGTTTTCTCATATCTTTTGATCTGTTAGAGATAATTAGATTCTGTAAAGTGCATCTAATAAAGAATTATCGGGGAAATTTTTTGTATATTTTAAAATTTTATTTTGGTCACGTGGTATACTC